TGCCCTTCCTCCCTGTCCAGTGCTGTAGAATGCCAATGACCTCATTCTTGGTCAAGCCCCAGGCAGCTTTGTTTAGGTCATTTCTTCAGGTAGAAAGCCCTCAGTCTACAGTTTTTCAATTACTAGGTGCAGGTTTCTTTAATTTTGGCAATTACCTGCCTACGGTGGGTATTTCAACTCCCACCTTTCTCTGTTCCTTTTTCTTGTTTGGCCATAAGATGTTAATTAGAGAGCCGAAGCAGAGTTTTGTTCTGTTTTCACTGATGTTTCTTAAGGGTGAAGAATTACAGAAATGCAGTAAGTGCATTTTCCTTTGGGACTAGATTAACTTGGAAGTAGACCTGTGAAAAATGCATTTTTTTTACCTGAAATATATTTGCAGCTGATCTAACAGACACAGAAAATTAAATTTGTTTTCCCTAACTGTTCACCCACTCAGTGTTTTCAGAAAAGTCAGCAGCAGAATTATAATATTCCCCTAGACTAGTTATTTCTTCTCCAGGATTCTTCATCACAATTTTTATTTCTGACTCATTCTTTTTGTATACTGGGTACTTCTGAATAATGCTTTTGATATATTGGTATCTCAGCATAAAACTTGATTTCTCTTTAGACACTGATTAATAAATGCTTCAGTAGAAAATTTCTGACTTCTCTGTATGTGAAGTTAGCGAAAAAACATTCACTGAAGCTTTTAAAAAAGTGGTTTTTTCTAACAAAATGAACATTTGGAATGAACAATTTTCATTTGGGTTGATATTTTTGCTACAACCCAAGAAAAAGTTTAATCAAAGTGGGGAGATAGGGGAAGAAAGTATCACAGAATATTCAAAAAACAATTTTTGGGAAAAGTTGAAAAATATTTTTTTTAAATCATTCCCCACAAGCTAGCATTTTTGCCCTGCTGTAATATTGAAATATTCTTCAAGAACAGGCTAAGCAGATTATTTAAATAACAAGTATGCTTACTTGCATAAGGATGGGTTCATGAAGAGTTTGCTAACCAACAAAAAGGAGCTGAGTTTGTAATGGACAATAGTCACAAAGAATATTTCAACTTTGTGGATGTGTTGTTTGCGAAGATGCCCTATTGTTTGTCATTACATCTGAAGATTGGATGTTTGGCAAAATGGTCCATTCTGGGAATTGTTCTGGAGAAGTTCTACATGTGTGTTACACAGCAGATCAGATGGGTTGATCATAATGGGTCTCTTTTGGCCATGGAATCTACGAATGTACGTTTCACACAAGATGTCTGGTCTAATGGACAGTGTTCTGGGTAGGAATAAGGAAATCTGGTTTCTATTCTGGTGGCTGTTTCCATGTATCTGTAACCCACACATTTGCAGGGTGTAGTTCACTGTTTCAACTCAGCCCAGGTCTGAGACCACGGGAGCGGGGGCGGAAGAGGGCGGGGGATTTCTATACTGCTATTTTCAGTTTTGCAGTCCGAGCTCCTTGATCCCAATTCAGCTGACTTGGGCTCTTAGACCTAGTGCGGTGGGGGTTTCATTGCAGTGTAGATCTAGCCAAAGAATCTCTCCGTTCACTTCAGCAGATCTTGGACGGGTAGCAATGTCTTCGCCAATTCATATTAGCATTGTCACTGCATTTTTGTAATAGGAGCATGGCAGTGATTATGCGTCTGCTGGCATCCAACAGGACTGGAAGGTGGAATGGGATTAATCATCTAGATTTATTATGAAAGGAATGGGAAGGTGTCGCCATTGAGAACAAAATCCTTTTCCAGATGAGGAATTACTTTCCCCTTTCTCCACTGCTGACATCCTATCAAATTTGCTAGCATTCTCTACAGTTGGCAGGACACTCTTCTAGCTGAAATTAGGTGAGTAGCCGTACTAGTCTGCTATAAATGGGCACCCTTTGGGCAGAATATATGCCTTGTTGACTTCACACATGAGGCCCACTTTATATTCCTTAGCTCTAATGTCTGGAGCAGCTCTTTTCCTCTTCATTGGGATGACTATTGGGTTTGAAACACTGTGGTAGGAGAAGAGACCATACCAAAAAAGAACTTAGCTCTTTAGTCATTTTTATAGGAGAAGCAAGCTGTGTCAACGCTTGATGTCCTCCTGAGGTCTGCTCCAACCCTATGTCCCTAGAATTCATACACTCAATGCTTTGAGGACCGTGTAAAGTTTTACCATCAGATTTTTTCCTTGTTGCATGTTGTTATGGATAAGTTATCAGATCATAGATTATAATGCTTCATAGCAGTGTCAACTCCCCCAAGAGATGCCGTAAGATATTAGCAAATTCCTGGTCTTCTAAATCTTTGAGGGTCTCCAAGAAACTGCAGTGTTCATTCCCCCTCCCCCCCCCCCCCCAAAATGAATGAGATTAGCTTAATAATCTGCTGACTTGTCTTGTTACACAAGAGCAAGTCATGGATGACTGAGTTCTGGCCTTTTTGCTACGCACGGATATGTTGGCTTTTTCACTCGATTTAGCTTACTCGATGTTCTACGAGGTGGATGAAGCTGATGGCACCTTGAGTGGGAATTAAATAGCTTTTTTTCTGCCATTTCCCTTCTTTTGGTTAAATAGAAGCTGACAAGGCTGATGACTCACTTCCTCCACTGCCTAAGCCACACTTCAGTCTGCCTTCAATATAGCACCCGGCTAAGCATTCTTTCAATTCTATTGTGCATGACCTGTCTAGAGAACCCTACAGGAGAATTTCCAGGTGAGCTCCTGCTTTGATGTGACTTACTCTTGCTTAAAAAAAAGAAAAAAAAAGAAAAAAGGAAAACAGGAGCACTTCAGTCTCTTGGAGGTCCCGGCGCTACTAAAGGTACAAGTGACATTTGGATTACACATTAGAGTGGAAGCATTATACAACCTGACATCCAGAAGAGGCTTAGCAGCACAAATGTGCTTATTTTCTTGCTTGAAATGTCAGCTGATATATTCTCCTCCTCCTCTTCCCCCTCCCTTCTTCTTTACCTGAGTGTAGCAAGAAATGCCACTTCTGCAAGGAAGTTAGCTTCAGGGCAGAAATTGCACTTTGATAATGGTAGTCATTCTGTGGGTGGTCAAATTCCCCCTCCATCTCTTCCTTCCAGTCCTTATCATTATCAGACGGAAAGATAAGGTTCATTAGGAACTCCTCTAAGTTGTGGACACTGCAGGGCTTTATTAAGAAGCCTGCTCATCAGAGATAATGTTAATTGCTGATAGTTGGTTTTGGACATTTCTTTAGTTCGGCATTTTCACCTTCTCTATGTAGGGTACATTCTGATAAACTTTCAGCAGCATGCATATACACATAAACCTTCCTTTAAAAAATCAAAGGTGGCAAGCTGTTAATTACAAATAACATTGATAAACTTAAAAAATAACGAATGGTCTTGCAACACCTTAGAGACTAACAAAAAATGTAGATGGTAGCATGAGCTTTCGTGGGCACAACCCACTTCATCTGTAGCTACCCTGTATATTTTTTAAAACAGTGAGCAAATGGTCTGGTAGCACTTTATAGACTAATAAAACATGTAGATGATATCATGAGCTTTCGTGGACACAGCCTACTTCTTCCGGTCATCTGAAGAAGTGGGCTGTGCCCACGAAAGCTCATGATACCATCTACATGTTTTGTTAGTCTATAAAGTGCTACCAGACCAATTGCTTGCTGTTTTTTTTTCTGTAACAGACTAATTCGGCTACCCCCTGAAACTTCTATATTTTTTGTTAGTTTCTAAGGTGCTGCAAGGCCATTCGTTGTTTTTTAAGTTTTTCCAGTTACAGACTAACACCTCTCTGAAACCAATAACACTGATGGCTCACTTCCTCGCTGCTCAAGCATAAACAGGAGGTTTCTTTACAAATAATGGTTTGCCCAAACTTAAATGATATTTCCAGTGTTCATATGTTAATAAAACAGTTTTCGGACTAAACTGTTCCCCTATTTACAGCCTTGCACAAACACAGCGGTAGAAGCAATGGAAGTGGTTCAGAGATGAGTGATCAAGACTATTAGGATCCTGGGGGAAAATGCCCTATGAAGCGAGAACAAAAAGACTTGTCACTTTTTTCTAAGCTGTGTCCTCACTTAAAAGTTTGGCTGTGACAACTATTTTGGATAGGGTGTTTTTTTTAAAATAGGAGGAGTTATACCATTGAAAGATCTATGCAGTTGCACCAATATAAAAAAACCTCATATCAGCATAGGTTATTCTGTTTGATGCTTCTAAGCACTTTTATACCAGCACTAGAAGACTTACCAGGTGTTACCCAGATCCTTCAGGGCAGGGGGCTGGTGGAGTGGGGGGGAGGAGCCAGAGCAGGGCCTTGGGGATCTGAGGGGGGCAGGGCAGGAGGTTAGAGGCTGGGTTGGTGGTGAGAGTGAGGGTTTGGGAATGAGGAGGGGCTCAAGGTGGAGGAGCCATGTAGATTTGTTGTTTTGGCAAAGGGAAATGAAGCGGCGATTTAAATAATCGCCGCTT